GGACCCTTGCACCTCCGTTGTTACCAGAACCAATACCTGGCTGGGTCGTGGGCCTGTGATTTCCCTCATCCAGCAGTTAGTACATCCCTCAGGGCAGTGTGATGAGGGGAACAAGTCTGGGAAGACCAGGATGGCATGCTGCTGGCCAACGTTGCAGTGTGTAATTGTCATCAGGCCCTAGAGCCCTTTCTAGTAGCCTCTTGCTCTCCAGCCCTGCCTCATTAATACCACTATCCCAAGCTTACTTCTCCTGCCGCAGAATTATGAAGGTGGGGAAAAGGACTAGGTGGTTTTTTGTGCCATCACCCCAAACTTTCCCTGTTTCATCACAAAGAACCTCTCCAGAATCTAACAAAGCTTGTCAGCTGAAGGGCTCTTCCAAGGCCATCAGAATCAGAGCCTGCAGGGCCTGAAGCCAAATTCACATTCTCCAAGGCCCCCCCACATACCTCCAGTTGGGATGCTGATACTTGAATGCCTTTGAAATTCAAGGACACCAACTCTGTTCATGCCTGGAGGGAATAAAAGGAAACAGACACCTGAGGATTTACAACCTTCTAATATCTCCCTGTACAAAAAAGTGACTGGTTTCTTCCCTAGAGCTTCCTTGGCTTTCTTGCTGTCTCCTGCAGGCAGACTGGCCTCAGTTGCAGAGGCCTCATCCCACTCAGGCTCCTCCACTCCCCCTCATCCCACCTAGTGGCCAGGGGTGCAGCTGCATACTCAATGTGCCCTCAATCTGAGACACCCACTTTTAATATGTACCTCAAGGTCTGTGCCCTGTCCCTGATGGGTCCCAGCAGTCCAGGAAACCTTCAGAACCACAGTGGAAAGGAGGAGAGGGCAGGATGGACTGACCTGCCCTTTATCTCTGGCCACTTCTCACAGCTTGACTGCCTCCCAAGTGATGCTAAAATATCAGAGTCTGAGTGAACTGCCACTTGACAGTGCATGCTACCCAGGATTCTGCACCATGGCCAGCATGAGGCTAGAAATTAATAAGTGTGAGCGATTATCATGGAAACTGTCTCCAGGAAAAACGACCAGGTTTATACCATTCAATCTTGGGAAGATAAAATCAGGCCTAGCAGAAAAAAAAGACAAATGGTCTACAGCAAATGTAGGACTTAAAATCCAAAGAGCATCATGGAGCCTGATAAGATACCTGCCTTGTCTAGGTAGACAAGTCCAGGAGGCATGGGGTGCAAGAGTGGGGGGCCATCTCTCTCTAGTCCATCAACCAACTCAGAAGCTTGTGCTTATTCTAAACCCTCTCCAACACCTCATGCCCTTATCTCTCACCTCTGTCAATTTTGCCTGTCTGTGGGTCTGTCTGTTGAGCCCCCTCCATGTGACCTCTCAAGACCAGACTTGTCCCCTGCCACAGCCTCCTTTCTGCTCTTGCTTCATTCAATGTCTCACCCACCCCCAACTCAGCCCTTCTTCTAGAAGACCCTGGAAAAACAGAAATCTCATCACATCGCCCTGCACAGAAACCATCCATGAACAATAACGGCAATATGTTTATCATTGTTAAGGCTGAACGGTGGGAACATGGGGGTTTACTTTATTATCGCTACACTTTTGTGTGTTTGAAATTTTTCATAATAAAACAAATACTCGCCAGCCTTCTAGGTATCTCAGGATACAGTTCCCAGTCCCCAGACTGGCATTTAAGGTCCTTCAGGATTGGCCCCTGCCCCATTTCTTCAGCTCACCTCCCGACACTCACCATGCTGCAGCCTCTCTTGTCACCCAGCTCCCTACGGAAGCCTTATCTCTGTCACTGTGTCTCCTTCTTGCAGAACATGTTTTCCCTTCCTTCCTGCCTAGAAAAAGTTTCCCCATCTCTTGAAAACCGGATGCAAATGACCCCTGGAGTGGGATATGGGATACCTTCCCAGGCCTGGCCCTCCATTTCTTATTGGGGGGTTGTGGGGGAATATGCCTATGCCCTGGTATCTGCCCAGGCATGACACAGAGCAAACACTGCATATATGTTTGGGAGAGACCAGAAAGTCTTGGTTCATAAAGCAGGTGCAACATTTATTTGAACTTGAGCAAGTAGGGTAATCACTCTTTGTCTCTATAAAATGAAGATAATAGCACTACTTATCTCATGAGGCTGAAGTAAGGATTCGGTGGTGTTTTCCGGGTAAACGGCTTAACACAGTACCACAGTACCTGGGGAGGGGGGGTGTAGACTTATAGATAGACTTCAATCAAATAATATAGTGGCTAATTAAGCAGCTTCTTTTCAACGAGATGTTCCCCAAACACAGGAAGCAAACTACTGTTTAGCCCTTGCTGGGAGCTAGAAAAAAACTGTGGGAAATTGGTGACCACAAAGTCAGAATCCCTCTCTAGGGCCCAGGGGTGGTTCTTACTTTAGGGGAGTGGAGATGAGGGGGGCTCTTCAAAGGTCGTGGCTCGAGGATCGGGCCCAGGTTTCTGCTCCTGTTTGGAAGAACCGTGCAGGTCTGTAGCCGGGGCGTGACCCAAAATCCGGCGTTGGGGGGCGGGGGGCAGGAAGGCACAGGTTAGCACGAAAATCCGACGCGGCGACAATCCCCAGTCTGTGAGCTGTTGGCGAGTTCAGGCCGCCCCGGTGGGGCCGCGGGGTGAGAAGATGGGAGCGGGGTCCGCGGCGGCGCCCCCCACCCGCCAGCCCCGCTCCTCCTGGCGCCCGCGGCCTCGTGCGTCACCGGCGAGGGCGGGGGCCGAGGGGAGGGGGGCGCCGCAAGGTGAGGGCCCCGCGCTGCCTTAAGACGCGGTGCGCCCCCGCCGCCGCTGCTCAGAGCTTGCAGCGCGGCGCGCGGGCCGGACGTGTGGGCTCAGGCGCCCCACTCCCTCCGCGCCCCGCGTCCGCCGCGAGCTCCCAGCTGCCGGCGCCTGGGGAGGCAGCCCGGACGATCGCGGCGAGTCCCGAAGGGAGCGGCACGCAGCTCCCGCCGTGCGACGCCTCAGCCAGCAACAGGTAAGCGGCCTGGCTCCGCTCCCAGAGCCGCGGCCCCCACACCTGCCTGGCTCTGGACGCCCGCTCAGCCGCGGCCCGACGGCAGCCGCGCTGGGGCGCGCCGAGCCCCCGGTCCGCCCCGCTCGTCTGCCCGCGGCCCTCGCCTTTGCCCTCGCACTTATCGCGCGTGGTCCCCAGCTCTCCCCTTGCTCCCCATCCCCTCTTTTTTAGTCTCTCTTCGATTTTCCAGTCTCCGTCTCTTCCTGCCTCTCATTAGCCTGCTGTCTCTCATTCGTTCTCTCCATTCCTCTTCCCGGCATTTTCTCTGCCTCTCGGGGTGGTTGTCATCCTGTCTCTGTCTCTCATTCTCTTTCTGTCTCTCCGGGTCTCTCCCCACGCCCCAATTCTCTTTCTCTCTCTGCCTCCCAGTATCTCCCGCCCTGCCTCTCTGAACTCTCCCACCAGCCCGGCACCCTTGCCTCTTCTCCTGCTCTCCTCGACCTCCCCTTCCCCACCTCCGTGGCCAGCCAGGAGAGATCCCGGACGGGCTGGAAGATACCGGGAGGGGGCCGAATTGCGAGGGGGTCGCAGGAGACATCCTCCCTGCATCCAGCTGCCGCTGCGCCGCTGAGAAACTAGGAGATTTATCCGCCAGAGCCCCGGTAGCCAGGGCGGCAGCTGGTTTCCATGGCAAAATAGTCAACCCAGAGATAGAGATTGGAGAGAGATCCGGCCAGAGAAAAACCGAGGGGAGGGATCGTCGGAGAGATACGGAGAGACACAGAGATACACGCACCGAAACGTACCAAGAAAGTATTCTGAGAGAGTCCCGGGGACAGAGGGAGAGGCAGAGAACCCGGCTCTGTAAGCGCACGCGCTAGCGAGATAGCCTGAGCCACGAGAAACAGTGACAACCGGGAGAGACAGCAGTAGATCTTCAGAGGCAGCAGCGAGAGACGGGCGGGCAGCGACAGAGAGGGAACTTAGTGCGCGGAGACACAGAAGCCGCAGGGAGACACGCGGGAGACAGAGGGAGACGCGGAAGCGCGAGACGCGAGGAGCCACGGAGACCGACAGGGACACGCAGGCGGCGAGGCATACTGAACAGGTGCACTGGGGACCCACAGAGATTGTCAGGGAGATGGGCTGTGACAGTCAGGGAGACACGAAGCTGCACCGGGAAAAGACCGAGGAGCGCACGCACTAGCAAGCGACACAGATCCTGACAGGCAGAGACACAGAGAAATGGGAGCACACCAGCCAGAGACGGAGGGAGAGATGAGGACAAGACCGGGAGATGGGCTGGGAGGGACAGAGAGAGAGGTCCGCACACACCCACAGACAAGGTGCGCTGGCGAGAGAGTAACTGGGCGGGGGTGGGGGGGTGGTCAGAGGGGGAGCTGAGTCCGAGAAACTGGCTGAGACCTGGAGGAACAGACAGGAGTAATAAGGAGACAGAGCGGCTGGAGAGAGAATGACAGACTGAGAACGACAGTGCGCACGTGTTAACGAGAGACTGGGAAGGAGAGACAAGACAGAATGAGAAACCCGGGCGAGAGAGTTGGAGAAAAACGGTGAGACTCAGCCACACACCCCAAGAGACACAGGACAAGTGCCCTAGTAAGGGACACTGGGGAGAGACAGAACGACACGTAAACAGGCAGAGACCGCGCGCGGGCATAAGACAGCGCACGCGCATGCGCCAGCCGAGAGATCGCTGGAGAGACGCAGAGACAATGGGGAAGAGACACAGAGCGCGCACACCCACGGGAGGGGCGGGTGAGGGGGACCCCGAGACCCCGAGAGAGCGAGGCTGAGGGACCCGAGGGGGAGGGGGACGGGAAAGAGAAGGTTCGGAAAAACTGCCCTCCCGCGGACCTGGGCCACACGGAGGGTGGGGGTGTCCGGGGGGGGCGGGAAGTCCCCGAAGCGGCCCCCCCCCACCCCTGGGCGGGGTGACTAACCCGGCCCGGGTGTTTCTTTCGTCCCCAGCACAGGCACGACTACGGTCAGTGCACTCCCTCGCCACCCGCCCTCCGTCACCATGACATCCACCTGCCCCAATAACACCCGGGAGAGCAACAGCAGCCACACGTGCATGCCCCTTTCCAAAATGCCCATCAGCCTGGCTCACGGCATCATCCGCTCGAGCGTGCTGCTCGTCTTCCTCACCGCCTCCTTCATCGGCAACATTGTGCTGGCGCTCGTGTTGCAGCGCAAGCCGCAGCTGCTGCAGGTCACCAACCGCTTCATCTTTAACCTCCTCGTCACTGACCTGCTGCAGATTTCACTCGTGGCCCCCTGGGTGGTGGCCACTTCCGTGCCTCTCTTCTGGCCCCTCAACAGCCACTTCTGTACAGCCCTGGTGAGCCTTACTCACCTGTTCGCCTTTGCCAGCGTCAACACCATCGTGGTGGTATCCGTGGATCGCTACCTGTCCATCATCCACCCTCTCTCCTACCCGGCTAAGATGACCCCGCGCCGGGGTTACATGCTCCTCTACGGAACCTGGATCGTGGCCATCCTGCAGAGCACCCCCCCGCTTTACGGTTGGGGCCAGGCTGCCTTCGACCAGCGCAATGCCCTCTGCTCCATGATCTGGGGGGCCAGCCCCAGCTACACCATCCTCAGCGTCGTGTCCTTCATCATCATTCCACTGGTTGTCATGATTGCCTGCTACTCCGTGGTGTTTGGTGCGGCCCGGCGGCAGCATGCTCTGCTGTACAACGTCAAGAGCCACAGCCTGGAGGTTCGAGCCAAGGACCGTGTGGAGAATGAGGTTGAAGAGGGAGAGAGGAAAGATGCGTTCTATGGCCAGGACAGAGGTGAGGTCAAGGCCAAGGAGGGCAGCGTGGAGGCAGAGACAGGCAGCATGCAAGCCCAGAACGGGAACATGGACAGCAGTGCTGGTAGTGCAGCGGCCAAAGGCAGCAAGGAGGTTGGAGAGAGCAGCTTGGTGTTGGGCAAAGGCAGCGTGGAGGGCAAGGACGAAGGCACCGGACCTGCCAGCAGCAGGAAGGCAGACAAGGGCCGCGTCGAGGTCAGCCAGTGCAACATTGACTTAGGTGAAGATGATGTGGAGTTTGGTGAGGATGACATCAATTTCAGTGAGGATGACATCGAGGCAGTGAACATTCCAGAAAGTCTCCCGCCCAGCCGGCGGAACAGCACCAGCGACCCTCCTCTGCCCAGGTGTTATCAGTGCAAAGCGGCGAAAGTGATCTTCCTCATCATTTTCTCCTACGTGCTGTCTCTGGGGCCCTACTGCTTTCTAGCAGTTCTGGCCGTGTGGGTGGATGTCCAAACAAAAGTACCCCAGTGGGTAATCACCATAATAATCTGGCTTTTCTTCCTGCAGTGCTGCATCCACCCCTACATCTATGGCTACATGCACAAGACCATCAAGAAGGAAATCCAGGATATGCTAAAGAAGTTCTTCTGCAAGGAAAAGCCCCCCAAAGAAGACAGCCACCCCGACCTGCCCGGAACAGAAGCAGGTACAGAGGGTGGGACTGGAGGCAAGATTGTCCCCTCTCATGATTCTGCCACTTCACCTTGAAGTTAGTTCGAAGGCAAAACTTGGACTGTGCACAGAGCAGAAATGGGAACAGCGTTGTTTGACGTGGACCACCCCCAATCCCGGTAACACCAACCCATACCATTTCAGGCACAGGCCTTGCACACATCCTTCTCACCACAAGATAGAGAAATATATGGAAGAGGTAGGAACTGGAGTCTTCCCTGACAGGTGTGCCCCTCAAAGCCCAGACTTGAGGATTCTGACTGAGATATCCCCCCGAAAAATTATTAGGCTCTAAATTTCTTAAAGCAACAAGGGATATCCACTTTGGACCTATGTCTGTCTCCCCAGAGCTACAGCATTTCGGCTTTTGCTCTGGGGAAGAAGGAAGATGATGCCGGACTTTTAGGCCCTCGGGTCAAGAGATTATGGGAAAGGGCTACAGTCTGTGTTTAACTGAAAGAAAAGCAGTGGACCAAATCATTTATGGAGCCCAAGAAGCAGAACCCAACTGACTGATCAATGCATGAGCCAAGATCTGAACTCAAGAGACCCACAATCTGGTGTAAAGACTATTATGGAAACTAAGTCAAAGGGCATCGAGTAGTTAAAAAACCAAGGTTTCTAGATCCTTTAAAGGGATCTGGAAAAGCAGAAGAGGATATTAGGGCATGTTTGAAATGGGAAGGTAGTCCAAGGGAAAGGTTAGAGAAATAACACACATCCATGAGGCTAAACAGTTGGCTTTTTTTCTGTAAAACCCTGAGTTTATGCAGGGGCTAGGACCCATGCCATTCCATGCAAATGGAAAATTGTCAATTGACACTAAAACTGTTTTCTGTATCCTATTCAAATTAACAGTGGGACAGAAATCATGCTACTAATTTTATGATTTTCCCTTTGTGATGGCTCAAAAGAATCCTCCAAATCTCCTCTGTCAGTCACTTATTGGGGGGGGGGAGCGTTCCCAAATAGGCCTTTTTGGTCAAACAGTATTTCCAGGAAAAAAAAAATGCAACTAGGTGTGGCCGAAATAGTTTACAAAACTCACACTGCCAATCAAGAGGGATGTGCTCATCAGAAATCTCGCTTGTGCCCATGGGATCTCAGACAAGAAATACGACCTCCACATGGGAACAAGTAAGGCAAGCTAAACATTTTTCCTCCCTCCAGGCACACCCATGAGTCTTTTCCACCTGTGGCCCTCTCTAAAACCTTTAAGTTCCCTGCAGATGTGGAAGAGAAATACAAGAGAGTCATAAATAGCAGAGAGGGTGGTTTTGCAATACCTGGCAAGCATCCGACCTATTTCAAACAATCCTAAACTCGGAGCATTCAGGTCAGGCACATCCTAATTACTGCTATTGAAATACATTGCTTTGGGAAAGATTTTTCAATATCTGAATTATCCCCAGGGTCAATAAAGAGGAAGGGCTTTTCTTATCTCAAACCCCAAAATCATTTTGGGTCAGGATCTACCTATGTATTTCTGAGGGCACAGACCTCATCGACATGACCAAATTCACATAGACACCCCCACACACACAAATGGCCAAGACAGTGTTTTCAACCCTCCTGAAGATCAAATCAAAGCAACTCCATGGCCGGTCACCTGTTCATGCAGAAATCTTACCTTATGGTGGGTGGAGGGAGCAGAGGGGGTATTTGGTTGAGAAATGGTTCATCAGGTGGTTGTACATAAAGATAGCCATATTCAGAATTTAGCCTCATCCTTGTGTGATTGCCATGTCTATATTATAACTCAAACTTCACTCATGTAAATGCCCAGCTCATTGAACTCTTTTCTTTATCTCTTCCTCCTCACAGATTCCAACATGAGCTTCTCAAGGGGGAGAGGTAAATAGCAGTGCATGTGGGCTGTGAATCAGTCTACATGGAAGTTTGGGATTGCCATGTTGAGAATTTAGGGAAGGAGAGGGGTATAGATGCAGACAGTATTGAGCTGGCCTGTCAACTCAGTATGTCCATGAAAATCTTATCCGTTCCAACCTTGTTACCCTGGAGCATGTGGTCATTCAGACAAGACATGTGGGCTGACATTTCTGCTTGCCCTACCATTTATTTTTCTACCAAAATGTGTAAAGTGAATTAATAGTCATAAATTTATTATACTGATTTATTGCCAAACTCTTATATTGACCTGTTGTCAGAGGATATCTGGGTGGAAAAGTGGCCTGGGTAGCCAGTCCCCCTTCTGAGGGGAGGGGTATTATTGCCTGGAAGATCTGTCGTGGTCAAAACAGTTCAAAGTAGCGATAGCCTGTCCTTTGAGCAGACATGCTTACCTGGGTAGGAAAGAGAATTTCAAACACAAGTATCTCCAAATACTTTGTTGAAACTGAACTTCTTGTTTTATTTTTAAAGCTCAACCCATTCAAAGCGTAACAGAGAAAATTGCCAAATCCCCAAATCAAAATGGAGCCAGAACCCGTATGCGTGTGGTAAGTTCACTTAACAGCACACACAACATTCTCTGGGGCACCAAGACTCACCCACTTCCTTGATAAAATTCCTCTTTTCCCATGTTTCAGTCATTGTCCGTATTTACAGCAAATTGGATTTTTCAAAGGTGAAAATGTTTTGAAAATAGGAGACTGGAAAAGAGGACCTTTAAATTAAGAGTACTCTGCTTTGCTGACATTTCCTATGAACAATAGGGCCTCTAGTTAGCTTGAGTTAGCGACTGCTTCAAATTTTGTGCTATTTTAAATAAAACACTATCAACTTAATGAGGTTTTACTGCACATACTGTTTTGTCATTGAAAAATCCGAAAGCACACAAAAAAGTCATCATTAGCCTCACAGATCCTCATGTGCAATCGTTTTCCCTAAATGTTTTTAAAAGAGGTATTCTTTTGCCAAGGCCACTTCATATGTGCAGTAAAAATCCCATTAAAGTACAGGGGCCAGACAAACCAGGCTTTGAAATGATGTGATTTCCAATTTAATGATTTCCTTATTTAAAAATAATAAAGCATCTAGTTTGCCAAGGAGTCGCAGGTGCTTTCACTAATACACCAATTTCAAAAAGCTTGGGAAGGCAGTAATAAGGAGCAAGCCTTGGGCTTCTATGGCTTCTGTGATTCAAGGGTCCATCTTCTGAAGGCACTAAGGCACCACAAGTCAAGTTGCAGCTCCCTGCCTACCTCTTGCCATCAGGCTCCTTCTCCCCTTTCCCTGATGCCCTTCCAGGAAGCTCTGTGTACTCACCTCCTTCATTGGTTCCCCCACACACCGCCCAGCTCTGACAGATTCACAGGGAAGGAGAGAAGTGAATGGTAGGAGTGACCAGCAGTCAAAAGTATTTTTCTGTCTCCTCCCCAACTCCAATCCAGTTTAGAGATGATGAGATATCAACCTCAAATTCAACAGGTAAGGAAAAGTTCCATCTTATAACTTAGGAGGAGATAGGCCCCTCGTTTCTTACCCCCAAAAGCACCCAACACAACCCATCTTTGGGGACACATCCAATCCTGTAGATACTGTCCACTTATGGCAGAAAAAAACCATTAAAAAGTCTTTTACCTATAAAATTATAAGGTGCCTAACATTGCCTTATTTTATACATAATTAGCCAATTAAGCTAAAGGTACTTCAAAAGATTTTTTCATACTACCTTGAAGAATAATTTACAAGATTAAACTAGGCATTCTTAGATTTTGCCAAAATGCTCTTAAAAATGTCTGAAACATAGCATTTGGAAGAGAAGAATTATGCATCAGCTGGTAATTGGAACACTCCAAAATAAAAAAAACCCTCAGAGGTTGTGGGGATGAAACACATAGAATCACAATTTAAACTACTGAACTGTTTTTTTCTCTCTCTCTCTCTCTCTCTCTCTCACAACCTCCCTCCCCCATATTTTGAGGGGAAAAAATCAAAAGAAGTGTTTTCCCCTTGTAATGTTTTATGCTGTGTTCCTCTTTAAGACAAACCCCATGCTGTCAAGAGAGGCTTCTCTAAGCAAAATGTCTTTTCCTTCTAGAGCACACAAAAGATTAAAGGAACAGTTGGCTGCCAGCCAGTTACCAAGATAAGGAGAGAAAATCTGGTCAGTCATGGCTTTTAACCCTCTCCCTCCTTATCTCCATCTTTCTCATTTTCTATGGGCTGGACAGGTGCTCTTGAGCCCCTCCCAGCTCAGACAGGAGGAAATCAGAGCAGTGAGCTACAAACGGCAGACCATAGCCTAAACCTTGAAAAGAAAAGAAGCCCTTGTCAGAAATTCTTTCCAGTTACTTACAAAACAAGCTCTTCCTCTATGGCAAGTGCCCAGCTTGCTTACAGCAGTCTTCTGCTAAAAGCAACAAGACTGGCTGGAGGAAGAGGTAGGAAAGTGAAAATTCACAGAACTTGACCACTGACTGCCATGTCACTGGCAAGTTCACTGCTCTTTGGTAAGTAGAAGAATCCTCCAGGTAAATGAGGATTGCCAATAGGAGTCAAACGTTCCCATCATTGCTTCCCAAAGCTCCTAGATCTCAAAGTACATACACCAAGAGGAAACCACGTAATTTCTACACTCACAAGAGGCTCGCTATGTTTGAGGATTTATTACTGGATCTCCCTTGTTCCAAAATGTAGTCGAAAACGAGATTGGTTTTAGTTTGGTGCTTTAAAGTTGAACGGATTCCCCCCTGCTTCATCTGTGTTACAACTTTAATGTTAAAAATGTGATATTTTTATCTGTTTCAGTGGTGTGTTCCTTTCTGTAGTAGTTCTCCTAAATGTAAGCTGTAACTGTATATAAAATACCAGTGTTCTTGGCGGTAAGGTGCTAGTTATTAGACTGTATGTGTTCATAGATAGTGTCATCCTCAAAAAAGGATAGTACGTCCATGTAAAGTTAATAAAATGCATGCAGAATTCTATGTGTGACCCACACCTTGGTCAGTTTCTGAAGTAAAACATAGTACATTCGTTTTTGAAATTTCAGTTTTAAAGTGTATACTACAGGCTGTATAAGATGGCTCCAAGGTGAGGTGGCAGGTACAGGTGCCTTTCATTCCTTAAATCTCTGGTAGTCTCTGACGGATGAGAACTTATCCTGGTCCAATTGATCACTAGTGTGAATTAGTCATCTTAGCTGAAGTCCTCGATGGCAGTTCTCCACAACACGGTTGGCACTGGTATGCCTGTTGTCCATTAGCTGAATGTACAGAATGTAAAATCAAAAAAGATAATCCTTTCCCCCTCAAAGAGCAAAGACCCCAGGATAGGCTATTGGAGTCCTGTTCACAGGATAAAAAAAAAATACTGTACTCTCAAGACCCAACTAGTCCCTGACTGTGAACTGACAGGATGCATATTTAGCAGATCTATATTGTGACAATCCCTCCCCTCCTAGAGCAGAACCCAAAACCAGAAAAAGACTGCTCTCAAGTTTTCCTTTGATCGGTTGCCTGAGAGATGAGAGAGAGCATGGACAGGTAAATAAAGTAGTGGGGCTCCTCCAGGGGTCACGGCTAAGGTGTTTGAGAATATCACAGTCATCTCTCAACAGCATTTGCATCAGACAAAGAGAACTGAGTTAATTATATTTTAAGAACAAAAACATTAAAACAGAAGACTATGTATATATGTATACCCTCATTGAGTAACTTCTAAAACTGCCTCTATAACCAAATTTTAAGTGCTGCTTTGAGACTGAAAACAATAGATACTTTCAGTCAAAAACAGTCCTCTTTAATCTGTTCGATTTTGAATTTAACATTTTCCTTTTCCTTTGAAAAAAAATGTGTAATTTAAAAGTGCCTTTTCAAAGGATTGCCACATGACAATCCTGGGGCCAAGTTCCCATTGGCACAGCTCACGTTCAGGTGCACAAAAGGGGTGGGCTTGGTCCTCCTGCCCCAGCAAGAAGAGAAAACCCTTCACACCCCAATCAAATTCACCAATCAATACTGTTACACGGGCCAGTAGTCACAGAGACTCTGCCCAAGGACAGGGTTTCATATGTGGGTTGACTGTAATTGTATCCTTTCTAAAATGGTTACAATGCATTTTTATTTATTTATTTGTTTGTTTGTTTATTTATTTATTTATTTGCTGAACAGGAATAACAGACTCCTGCTTAGAGAAGGCAGAGAGATGGATGTTTGTGGCTTAACTAAAAATTATTAAGTAATGTTTTTGTTTCTTAAATAGGTGCTGTTAATCTGTCCTTGGTATTCTTCTTAAATATACTAAATAAAGTCTAATTTTAATGTGCGTATCTGGTTATTATGCTGAGGTCGGTGGGGAAACAATGAGGAACACACACAACTGGGTCTCTTTTGCCAGAAAGGAAGAGATGGGATAAACTAACTGTATTACATGGTTGGATGAAATATAAGGGCTCCAAGATTTCACAACATGCTGCCCAATACAAGAAATATGCAAAAGGATGGGGGAGTCATCCTGATGAGCTGGGCCTTGGTGGAAGAGAGGCATGTGCCTTATTCCTCTATGAACGAAAAAGATTTTAAAGTGACAGTGGGGTGGGCAGAGTGGCAAAAGGGCCAGGTGGTTGGTGGGATTCCCAAATGGCAGTCTTTGTTACCAAGGCACTGAGGTTTGAGCAGGGGGTGGGGAGGCAAGAGCCTTCATTTTTAGGACACAGTACTGCCCAGCACCTCAGGTCACCCCCACTGGGCTCCTGCCCCTGCTGCCCCTCCACTCAGGGCGAGGACACCTCCCGTGGTACAATCCAGTCCCAGCCACTTCAGCTCAACCCCAATTCACCAGGGTTTACAGAACAGGAGGGCACAAGAGGGACACCTGGGTGGCTCAATGGTTGAGCACCTGCCTTTGGCTCAGGGTGTGATCCTGGAGTCCTGGGATTGAATCCTGCATCGGGCTCCCTGTAGGGAGCCTGCTTCTCCCTCTGTCTAGGTCTCTACCTCTCTGTGTCTCTCATGAATAAATAAATAAAAATTTAAAAAAAAAAAAGAAGAAGAACTGGAGGGCCAACGCATGTTCCCCGGAGCCTGGGGTAAGAAAATGATTATACCTTGACTACCACCCATGACATATGTACACACAGGACACAGGCAAGATAGTCAAATATGTCTAAGATGTAAGAGGCCACAAGTTCCTCTGGAGCTGATGTGCTTGACCTACTCGTAGCTCTTCTGTCATCTCATCAGCAGCAGTTCAAAGAATTGCACACCTCATGCTCCCCAAGTGGCATTCGTGGCCCACACTCAGAGAGGTTCAGGGAGCTATTCATCTCCGTTTCAATCGAAGTAAAGTGTTCTTCTCCATTTTTTCACTCCAAAATCAGCTAAATACTGACTTGCACGTTGTATTTCAAGATGTCCAAAGATGGCAGCATAGAGAACTGCACGCAGCTGCCTTCACCTTAATCCCTGAATGCCATCTAGGCAGTGACTTTTTCCTACCGCAAAAATAAATTTGCCTCTCTTTTTCTTTTTAATACTTATTATGGAAGGACAGGTGACCTACGATGCGATGTTAGTTTCAGGTGTGCAACATAGCAATTCAACAATTCTGGATGTTCCTCACTGCTCACCGTAATGGGTATAGTCACCATCGGTCACCATACAGCATTATTACGGTATTCTTGACTGTATTCTCTATGCTGTACTTTTCATCTCCATCACTTAATTTTATAACTGGCAGTTTGTACTTCTTAAACCCCTTCACCTATTTCGCCCATCACCCCCTCCCCCAGCAACCAATAGTTTGTTCTCTGTACCTATGAGTCTGTTTCCATTTGTTTGTTCATTTGTTTTGTGTTTTAGATTCCACATATGAGTGAAATCATACAGTATGTGCCTTTCTCTATTTCACTTAGCCTAATACCTTCATGGTCCAGTCATGTGTCATGGTCCAGCCATGTCTCACAAATGGCAAGAGCTCATCCTTTGAACACATTTGCCTTTCGAGCAAACTACTACCATCAATGCAAATAGGAAGGCTTATGAGCTTAGATAAAATGCTCAGGCAGCCAACCGGGTGAGAAGAGTCCCCCTGAAGTTCACTATAATGCTGTTTAGTTCAAAGTAGTCAGAGGAGAATGGAATTGGTTCCAGTGAGTCTCAGAACAGCAGTAATCCCTCCAAGGCAGGGCACGGGGCTCAGCCTGGTTTTGAGAGTAAGTGGGAGAAGGTGGAGATGATCTGAAAATTCTACCATCAGTAGACACCTCTGACTTTCCACAGCCACTCTCTCTCTCACAGGTCTGTTCCAGGACCCAGGCCTATTTGTCAGGGGTTTGAATTCCGATCCTGGAATATAGAAAAAGGCATCCTATGGGCTAGGGAATTACTCTGTGACCCTATCCCTCTCCATCCCAATCTCCCCATCAAGAGCTACAGGGCTTCTTTGATTCCCACACACAGAAGAAAGTACTCGTCAGCTTACGGACAGGTTTGAGAATGTTCATGAATTGAAGCTTGTGCCTACATGGTTCTCAAACATTTTCCCAATGCGGCCAATATTTATCAATCAAATGTATCACAAAAAAATGTATGATTTTCATGGCTGCTCTCCCAAACTTGCAAGCTTGGAGGATGTTTGCTGTATGAATTCCCGACATTTTGGGAGTTCTGATACCTGACTATTGTTTAGTCAAAGCAAATAAATCCAAGAAAATTGACTCCAAATATTTTTCATCTACATACAGCTACGTCAAACTTGAACATTCTCAGCCTTCAAAGGACAGCAAACAGAAAAAGAAAACCAATAACCAGAAATGTGCAGATTTAATTGAGGAACAAGATAGCAGTACCGGGCATTTCATAAACTCTATACACTAAACCAATGTGCAGGAGCATCCAGGTGGCTCAGCCAGTTAAGTGTCTGCCTTCAGCTCAGGTCATGATCCCAGGGTCCTGGGATCAAGCCCCTCCCCAGTTAGGGCTCCCTGCTCAGTGTGGAGCCTGCTTCTCCCTCTCCCTCTGCTCCTCCTCCCCACCCTGCATGCTCTCTCTCTCACAAATAAATAAAATCTTAAAAAAACAACAACAACAATGTGCATTGTTAAAATGGTCATCCAGGGGCACCTGACTGGCTCAGTCAGTAGAGCAAGTGACTCTGGATTTCAGGGTTGTGAGTTTGAGTTCCAGGTTAGGTGTAGAGATTACTTTAAAAAATAAAATAGGGACTCCTGGGAGGCACAGTGGGTTAAGCGTCCACTTCTTGGTTTTGGCTCAGGTCATGATCTCAGGGTCATGGGATCGAGCCTCGCATCAGGCTTCACGCTCACCACAGAGTCTGCTGGAGATTCCTCCTCCTTTTCCCTCTGCCCCACACTCTCTCTAAAATAAATCAATAAGGGCAGCCCCAGTGGTGCAGTGGTTTAGCGCCGCCTGCAGCCCAGGGTGTGATCTTGGAGACCCAGGATCGAGTCCCACATCAGGCTCCTTGCATGGAGCCTGCTTCTCTCTCTGCCTCTCTCTCTCTCTCTCTCTCTCTCTCTCTCTCTCTCTCATCTCTCATGAATAAATAAATAAAATCTTTAAAAAAATAAATCAATAAGTCTCTTAAAAATAATTGAATAAATACATAAAATAAAATGGTCATCCAAATACAAGGGTGGAATACAGTTTGTACAATCCACTTAGGTTAGAAAAATTCCCATTTTACCTAAGATTTATTTGCAATAGTTCTGATGCTGTAAACAAAACGAAGAAAAGAAAAAACATTTCATCTGAAATGCCCGTGCGCTCAGCTTTCATTTTGTAAAGAAATGTGCCTCACTTGCTCTAATTGCTTTCAATTAAACCTTTTTATGGTATCTTTTCAGGACAGTCTGACTCAGAATAAACCTGTTTCCAAATCAACCTGTTTTTTCCACATAATCAGTATTTTGTGTCATATAAACCGAGGCCAGACAATGAGATTTTTTTTAATGCTGTATATTTAAAATGTGTACTAAGAGGCACACAGATATAGATAGATTTTCACATAGATATAGATGTATATATTCAAAAGCAATGTTGATGTGCCTGGAAGCCTTTAGGGACATTTTTAATCCACTTTTACCACACTGTAGATTTTAATAAGAAACCAGAAACAAGAAAAAAATCCAGTCGTCCCTGAAACAAAATGAAAAAGATCCTTGTTAACCAGAGACTATATCAAATCAAAGTAGCTTTCTCAAAAATGCAAAGCATTTCAGTTTTGAGGTGGGCTACTGATTCTCTAAATCTCAAGACTCATACATTATCAAATAAAAAATCACCAGGCTTTCTTGCTGAGCAAAGAGGATGAGCAGCAGGGCTGGAGGCAGCCACCTGCAACAGGATGTGAGAATCCATTTGATTGAACACTGCAGGTCTCTAACCAAAGCAAAAATAAAAAATGAGTAGCTTAAGTTCTCTATTTCAAAAAGGTTACATAGAGGTCCAAGGCTAGTTTCTAATATAGTAAACTTTATATAACTTGCTTCAATTTAGAAAATGTAAATAACCATTATCAACTTATTAACACAAGTGGCAATAATCCATTATGTACTTGCATACTCAGGACATATATTAGTTTTATAAATCAAAGTTTGGTCTTATTAAATCTGATAAAAAAAAAACCATTACTGGAGATTTACCCTAAAGAAATGTCCCCATAGAAGGAAAAAAATTACATGCAACATGGTGTTCCTAACACTATGATTTATGATATTGAAAAATTACAAATAAACCAAATGCCTCCAAATAGGTGACTTAGCTAAATGATGGACTAAGTGCTCAGTGAAATAAATTTGTCATCAAATATGACACATTTAGAGACTGTATAGTAGAGTGGACCAAAGAAGATCCCTTTATATGTAGGGTGATACAGTTCTGGGCAAACTTTTATTTAACATAGGATTTTGTTGATCTTCATGTTATAAAAACAATTCTCAGATGATATTAAGGTTCAATGACTTGGTCAGAGAAAACTTCCAGATCCTATAATCTAATGGGGCACCCCAAGACAATTCAATCATCTAGGAAAACATGTTAGTCACAGAAAGCTTTAGGCATGGTTTAGTCTCTTTTCCTTTGCCAGTTTTCAAGCTCAGAGTAACTTCCATCCAGTATGCCATCATGCCACTTCCCTCCCATCCTTTATAGCTCCTTGTCAGGAATCAGTGTAGTATAATGATTAAGATTATGGACTCTGGATTGACATGAATCTGCTCCATTGGTTACTAGCTGTATGATCTTGGCCAAGTGACAATCTTGCCAAACCTCAGTTTTCTCAACTGAAAAATGGGAATGATAATATCTATTCCTACGTTAAGCTTCCCTTTCTGAATCCAACAACTTCAATGGTTCAGGAGATGACAATATGTAGCTAACACATGTCTCTGAATCTAAGACATTTCTGATTTCAATTTGCTGCACACTATCCTCATAAACTACTGAAGTGTCCATGAATTCTCAACTTTTTGAGGCTTTACTTACAATACCCAAATTGTCTCCTACCCGAAACACAGTTCCATCAACTCTCACACTGTTCTGACAGGCAGCTGAGCTAAGTCAGTGGACTTTGGGGTAGCAGGCACTTAGCTATATGATATAGAGCAAGCTACCCATCTCCTTTGTTCCTCCTAAGTGAAGAAGAATTCTATCCCCACCCAAATAACAGGCTTGACCAGAGGAAAAAAGGTAAGACACATTAGGGTGCCCATCAAAGTAGGCACTCAAGAAATGAGAGCTAGCACTCATGTTCTGATTTGGGGCTTGAAAAATATCGTCACATGGGGTTTATTGTGCCTGTACCCTGGAATCATCTAGGGAGATTTAACAACTACTATTGCCTGGATCACAACCCCCAGAGATTCTGATTTAATTGATCTGGGATACAGCCTAAGAATCAAGATTTTGAAAATCTCCCCAGGTGATTCTAATATGCAACCAGGGTTTCAGAATCCCTGGTCTAGCCTGCCTTTCTCCTTCCCACACGCCCTCCCTCTCATCCTTCATGTGAACAAACATAAGTATGAAAAGAGGTGGGAAAATGTGCCTTCTAAGGGCCACTGAACCACACAATTGAAAAGCAACTTAAAGGATCTGGAAAGATGAAAATGTTTTTTTTCAACAACTCAATTGCTTGTACTACGATTTGAGGGCAGAAAGACAGAGATGAGCCAAGAAGGGAGAGAATGCTCCCTTGGGTGTCTCTGTCTACTTTCGCCTCAGGTTAGAGAAAATACTAAACCAATAGTAGGAACATCCCATATTCTTTTTAAGCTCCATAACCTTTTATCATTAGGTCAGGTGATGCAGGATCCTGATGAGGCAGTCCAAGACAAGCAGAGAAGCCCATTTCTCCCCACGCCCTTTCCCTAATTGCAATTCTATAATGAAAAGAATTCACAGCCTGATCCTGGGACTGCTCTCCAAAACACATTTCTTCGAAGGCTTTCCCAAAGCAGTCATTATATATGCACACTTGAAAATGAAGAAGAAACTAGCTAAAGAAAACATTTTGAAAGTCTGCCACATTCTACTCAAGATGAACAAACCTTTAAAGAGTTTTTCCACAGGGGTGGCTCAGTGTTTGAGCATCTGCCTTTGGCTCAGGTCATGATCCCAGGGTTCTGAGATCAAGTCCCGCATCGGGCTCCCCACAGGGAGCCTGATTCTCCCTCTGCCTATATCTCTGCCTCTCTGTGTGTGCCTCTCATGAATAAGTAAATAAAGAAATAAAAAATTTAAAATAAATAGAATCTTTCCACAGCCACTGTGAGGGCTATATTCCAATACACATGAATTTCAGAATTTGCAGCAGTAAGATGCAGACAAAAGGTTTTCCTCAAATTGTATTTAAAGCCATTAAACAAAGGAATAAAGAGAAAGTTTCTTTGGAGAAAAGAGTCTTGGGGGACTTGACTCCCTTCAGTCATGTTTGATTCGGTATTCATGAAGCACTTTCTCTGGCCCTGGCCCTTGCTGGCTGGGTAATGAGAAGGACAGAACAGGGCCCTTGCAGGGAATGATCTCAGGTGATGGCTATCCCACACATCTCCACTGACAGACATCACATTCTCTTCATCTCTCCTCTAGAAAACTCTTTAATCTTGTCTCTACCTCCTGTGTCTGTCTGTCTGTCTCTCTCCCATTCTGCACGCGGTCAGAGTGACTATGAGATTTCCAAAGCACAAACTTGATTGTCATGCCTCTACTTGCAAACCTTTAATAGCTCCCCATGGCAAAAGCACTCAAACCCCTGAGTGTATCAGAAACCTTTTAAGCTGTTAAAAATAAACATCAGCAAGGATTCTGATTTGGGGCTTTGGGTTGGGTCCTGGGCATCAGCTGTATTGGTTTTCAATAATTTCCACAAAGGAATGTGATATAAGACCACACTGGTGTTGGCACACAAGGCCCTCCAGGACTAGGCCACAGCTTCCTCCTTTAGGACTTGTTCCTGCCACTCCATGCCTTAAAATTCAAACTCCAGCAGCCCCAAATCACATCTAGATCTCCACATACCATGCCTTGCTCAGCCTGTCAATTCCACCTTCAAACTGTAAGACTTAGTCTTCTCTCAAGACTGTTCTAGCACTTTCTCCTGCAAAGCTGTCTCTGACCTCCTTCACCCTCCCCATGACTGAGCTGGATGCCCCTGCTCGGCACCTTCACAAGACCCTGAGCTTCACTTTTAGGCTTCTGGTGACAATGCATGGAAAGGATCTGTTCACAGGCCTTCTCTCTCCAGACCATAGCCAAGAGGCTAGGGGTTAAGCCTTACTCAGTTTGGTATCCCCCCCTCCACCCCCAGTGCTTGGCAGAGTGTTGAGCATGTTGTAGGCAGACAACAAATGTTACACTGAACTGTTTGGATGAACTGCATGGCAATGTAAACTCCATCAGGATAGAAGTCTTCATCCCTGTATATGAAGTTTTGTTCACTGCTAAAGCCCCAGTCTCTAGGGCTAGTGCCTGACACACAGTACATATTCAATATACACTTCTTGAATGAACGGCAAGAATTTGGAGAGGGCATCTCAGAGAAGGTTCTCTAAAGTTTGACTCAGAGGCATTTGAGGATGGGAGGCAGGTAATCCGGACAGAGCCAAGAGTACTCATAAAAGTCTGGAACAATTAAGCCCTGACAGTTCTAAGGAACAGTGAGAACTATGGCAGGGGGATTGGCATGTTAAGAGTGTATGACCAAAGAATTAAGGGAACATTGGAGTGTCTGGCTGGCATGCAACTCTTGATCTCAGAGTCTGAGTTCAAGCCCCCTGTAGGGTATAAAGATGACTTAAAAATAAATAAATAAAGTTTGAAAATATTTTTAAAAATATTAAAAGAAAAAAATAGAAGCAAGGGAATATTAAAAAAAAAAAACTATAGGATAAAAGACTGCAGAAGTAGGTGAGAGCCAGATAGTAAATGCCAAGTTAAGAAGCTGGGATTTGATTAGGCAGGCAGCTGGGAGCCAGTGAAGATACATAAGCCGGAGAATGAGATGACCAAATTTGTATTTCATGATAATAAATGATGATAATAATGATGAAAATGATATCTGTTGTTTATTAAATACTTAGATGCTTGGATGTGGGCTAAGTGCTTACATGTACGATCAGAGTGAGTTGAAGTCTATGAGTTAAGTACTAGGATTTTCACCATTCTATAAGGAAACAGAGGTTCAGAGAGACTGTTGACTTGCCTTACAATACCCAGCCAATAAGCAATACAGCTAAGACTCAAAGCCAACTCTGCCCGATTGTTCTAGGATAGGGCGATCAACATGGGCTGAGGTGACCATGAACTGCTTTGTGCAGAAAGACCTCAAAGAATGAGCAGCAGTTGGACAGGAAAAGCTTGGGGTGCAGGGAGTAGAAATCAATTCAGGTATGAGATGCCACAGAATGTAAAATACACAAGAATGCCAGAGAATGCAGATTCTGCTTACCATTAGGGAATGGGATGCTTCCTTTCCTTTGAAATGTTTTAGCATGATACTAAAAACTAGAATACTGGCTACCAAAGGGCCCAGAGTTAGAGTATGTCTGCAACTACTTGCACTGGGAAAAACAATGGGAGCCACAAGTTTTCAATATCCTTGAGAATAGAGAGGATTCCATCCTGCTCATTCCTACAGC